GATCAAGCCACTAGGCCGTAAAGACAGGAGCTACATGGACCCAAAAAACACTTGGGGAATTTTTGAAGCAAAATCCTAAGTGTTATGACAGTAAAGCAAAGAGGCATAGGCCGACCAGATTACTGGACGGGAAGGCCAACCTCATGGACGTAGCGGACACTCGCGGGTGACCCAAGTTATGACTTGTTACTTAGACAATTTACAGAATTAAAATGACAAAGCAAACAAACATACAAGGGATTCAAGGCCGAAAAGGACAGCAAAAATTTCTTCAATTGATAAATTTCATTACAATTGGGGGGCACTACGGCCATTACATAATTGGGCAACAAATGAAAAGCTAACTACAATGGGGACTAGCCGATCAAGCCTCCGGGGCCGGCTCTTCAACCTCGTCGGCCCCCTCCTCATCGGCCTCAGCTTCCTGGCCGGCAGCGGCGCTGGTGGCATCATCCAAGAAATCGAACTCAGTATAGTCCGGCTCGCCGAGGCCGGAGCTTTCTATGGGGGACTCCCGCTCCGACAGCGGAAGCGTGGCCTGCCCTTCGGGATCCTTCATCAGCTTTGGGAGCTTCAGGTTCCGTCTAGCCCATCCAGCCGTGTAATTCATGGCCTTCAACGCCCGGGATAGCCGCCGGTACAGGAGCCTTTGCATCCGCTCCTGGCCCAGGTTGTAGTAAACAGACATCTCCTGGCTGAAATACTCCCGGCCGGCAGGGGAGTTCATCCCCCAATTCTCCAGCCTGGCGGCCACCACCTCGTAGCACCAGGGGAGCCTCTCATCGGCCTTCCACCCTTCGGCCAAGAACTTCTCAACAGCCTCATCAGCAGCCCTCACAACGGCGGCCTCCTCGCTCCTGCGCTTCTCGGCCTCAAGCGCTCTACGGGACTCTGCGAGCTCCCTTTTGCTCTCTTCGAGCTGGACCAGGGCAACGTCCCTGGCCGCGACGGCCTCATCAGCTTTGGCCTGCAGCACCTTGGCATCCTCCCGAAGCCGGTCAAGGCAAGCTACCGCCTCGTCGGCTGAGGCAGCCTTCTGCTCCAGTGCTTGCAGGCGGACTATCTCCCAGTACGGCCTCTTATGGCTTTCCATAAGCATGAAGGCACTCTGCATAAGAAAAACAAAGGTCAGGCAAAAACTCTACATAGACGAAGAGAGACAAGAATATAAAGACAATCACTTACTTGGACGAGGAGATCCATGCCGCCCTCATAAATCTTCGGGTCCTCGAGCTTCTTCAGATGAGCCCGATCTTTGGCCGGCATGGCCTTGGCCAGGACGACGTGGCCGGGGACGAGCTCATTAAACACGCCCCCGCCGACGGGGTACTCTATCACTTTCTGATAGGTGGCACCAGCAATCTCCTTGCCGGCCCTCTGCGTCCGTGGTTCCTGGACGAGAGGAAGCGCTGGGGGAGCATCATCAGCAACAGTAAGGTCCACGACGGGACCACCATCGCCCACGCTGGGGACAGTAAGCGTGCCGGCCTCACTAGCCGGAGAAGGGGAAGGAGCCCTCTTCGTCTTCTTAGAGACGCTCACGCCGGCCTCGGTCAACTTTTTCTGGCCATCAGTGGCCGGTCTCTTTTTCTTGGATGGGGCAGGCTTTGGGGCCGCATCTACAGTAGCCCCGCTCACACCGGCCGCGGCACGCCTGGCCGCTTCGGCCGCCTTAGCAGCAATCTCCTCGGCCGCTTTGGCCTTCGCAATGGCCATCATGGAACGGCGGTCCATGACAAAGTCTACAAAGGGAAAACAAACAGATTAGCAAGGCAAAGGACAAAAACGTAAAGACAGAAAGCCGAAGGAAAATTACCATCGGCCTCAGCAGGAATGCCCAAATCCGGGCCATCGGCCTCCTCAAAGGTGGTGGTCATCCTCGGCCAGAGCTGGAGGTCATCCTCCTTATCTCCATACAAGTGATATCTGAAGAAGCCGAGGGCCGTCATCTTGTATTCAATGACGTAATCTTTCACGCTCCTCGGCCCCCCTTCCAGGAAAGCCTCCACCTGAGCGTCCAAAATAGAGCTCTTCGGCGGGTCATGAAGATTGAACCTCCCGGTATGGCCGAGGGAGGGGAACTCGGTGCCACTCTCACCAATGGACACAAACACGAACTTGCTCTTCCACCCATGAATGGACGTAGGCAAATCCGTGAAGCTCCTCTTCCTCGGCAGCTGTTGAAGAGTAGCATAGGCCGCACAGTTCTTGTGGCTTCCTCGGCCGATTTGGTACAAGTTCATGAATAAGGCCGTGGTCGGCCTGTAGCCCAACTCCTCACACCGAAGCAAGAAGCCCACTATCAAGGAATAACTGTTCGGCGTCAGCAAGGCCGGAGGAAGCCCCACCATGTCCAGATACTCGGTGACGAAAGGGTGAAGGGGGAACCTCAACCCCTTAGCAAAACTCATCGGGTATACTCCGAAGTATCCCGGTGGCGGAAGTAGAACATGGTCCGTCGGCCTGGGTGCCCTAACCCGCCCGAACGGCCCCACGTACATCTGGGCGACAAGATAGTCGGCCTCACTGCTCTCCGGCTTAATCAGGAATATGTTGGTGAGGTCCAAATAGGAGAGGCCCGGCCCATTCTTCGGCCTCCTCACCCTCTTCGGCTTAGCGTCGCCCTTCACGGCAGATACCGGCCTCGGGCACGGAACGGCAGCAGAAGTGGACGCCCCGTCCACCGCTCGGGACGCACCTACGTCCTCACCCTCTGAAGAGGAGGCGGACTCCTCGTCCTCGATCTCCTCGTCCATCAGCTCTCCGGATTTGTAGGGGCTCAAACGATCTATCTCCTCTTCAAACTCCTCGAGCACCTCGTAGTCAAGGGACCTCGTGGAGGGCTGGTCGTCGTAGGGGTAGTAGTCCTCGTTCAAGCTCTTCATTACTACTTTTACGGACTTAAGGAGAACAACTTACGATCTAAAGGTGTTTAAACGCCTAACACTAGATCAACTACTTACGGAGCAAAATATGAAAAGTGAGGAAGATCGTGATGAACACTAACCTCAAACAACGAAGAACACGAAGAACAGGCTTGGGAGTTTCTCTCTCTAGAAAATCGGCCAGCACTTCGACAAATTCAGAATGCAAATGTGATTCTTCGTCGGAGGGGAAGGGGTATTTATAGACCCCCCCCCCCACCAACGGTCACTACACGTGGCACTCACCCAATGGCCACATCAACGGCCACCACTGGGGGGCCACCACGTCACCAACGGGCCAGGACCAACCCATATCAACGGCCCACTGGCAAATCAGACTCTACGGCCTACACACGCTCAACGGCTTCACAACTGCCAGCAAGCGCCCACAACGTCCCATCTGCTTGCCAATATCACAAATGCCAGACAACAAGCGGACGGCAACGGCCAGGAACGTAACGGCCACAGAACAAAGGGGACAAATAGCCCACAGCCTTCGGCTCCACGTAATAACCCTTGATGATAACTCTCTACAAGCGATCTGCGCACAAGGGTTCTCCCACAGGGTTACCTTGGCCAGAAAATCGCCATGAGAGTTGGATTCAGGGGGACTACGGCGAGACCGCTTCGGCTAGGGACTCAAGCAACTCCTTCACCCCTCACACTCTTCGGCCTGAAGCAGTGGGGGACTGGGGGACTACACCGGCCTCAACGAAACAAAGGTATAAACAAGGTAACCACAAAACATGGCCACATCATCCATACAGCACAACAGAACTTCATCGGCCAAAGGCCCATAACGTCACTAGCAACGGCCAACAAGCCACTAGAGGCAATGACACTCATCGTCCTCCGCCAACGATTAATCTTGACGGGCCCTTCGGCCAAGAACACGAAGGCCAACCAGCAACGGCCAAAAGGAGTGCGCAGACACCCTCATCGGCCACCCAAAGGAAAGGACGCCATCGTCCTCGAAACAAGGTTCAACCTCAGTGGCCTCACCGGCCCAAATGTAAACTTCAAACTACCAACGTCCAAATAAGGGAAAGCGCGCCTTCAACGGCCACCATAGAAGCAGGACACTCATCGTCCCCAAACGAACAAATTAAGGAAACAACGGCCTCCCCGCCACAGCGAGGAACAGGTAACGGCCAAGGCACAGAACAGGATCACCAAAGAGAAAACAACGCCAACGCCGCAACGGCTAACGGCCTGGAAATGCCCGCGTCGGCCAAAAGCAACAAAGCACAGAAATCTACTCTCCTTCACTTCGTCTACGTCTCAGCTTAGAGAGTGGGGGACTCCTGATGGAGTATATGGGTCTGAGCCCCAGGACCCACATACTCGGAAGAACAGAGCACAAGACAACAGAGTGGCGCCCTCGTCGGCCGAGGCGCCCCCGTCGGCCGAGAGGAAGCCAACTCAGATTACGGTCCTGAGTCTAAGGGACTCGGGTGCCCTCGTCGGCCGTGCCCTCGTCGGCCACGAAGACCTCCCAGAGTCGGATCCTATACTTACTCATTTGTACAGCCCATTAGTGGCTTTGTATTCGGCCCAGTAGCGGTCCAGTTGTAAATGGGTCTCCCAAGCCCAAGGCTTGGGAGCCCAACCCTAATTTTCTCTATAAATACTCCCCTTGGGAGTAGTTATAGGGGTTACAAAATCATTCTATTGAAGCAAATATTGCACTTCTCTCTCTAGCTCTCACTTCTCTCTAGAATCTAGGAGTTAATACTCTATCAATTGGTGTTTTAAAGTGACAACTACTGCTTAAATTAATCACTTAAAAGCTAAATGCTGGAAGCAGGTTGAGGGGTGTTTTGAAATACTTTCACTTTTTCTATTATGCAAAAAACACTTATTTTATCAAACACTATCAACTTTTTTAGAATCATTTTTTCTCAAACAATATCAACTTTTACTATTAAACATTTTTTACAAAATGACTTTAAAAACTCACATTTTTAAAGTAGAAACAATTGTAAATAGTTACATTTTTTTGTGAGTCCGCTAATGGAAAAAGGCGGTTTACACAAGACCGACCCGGTCTTACTACGCGGAGAAGCCGTTAGGAATTTGGGATACCCAGGCGAAAATTCGGGTCATATACTATTCAACACAGCGGGTTTCAACAGTCAACGTCATTCTCAGGCTGATATTACCTGTAATTGGGAACTCAATCATTCCTCATCCGGTTAACCCACCGAGGATTTGATCAATACGATCCAGTTGGTAATCGGCCAACTCAGAAAAATTCACGTACGCGCGAGAAATAGAGTCGGAAGTTTTATAATCAAAGTTACATGTCGATGTCCGACTCTGATACGTCGTCTCAGGGCAGCGAGTACAAATGTTTCCGGCAAATTACACGCGACAGTGAGTCATGATTTCACTTTAATATCTTCGCTATACTCTTGTTTTCATATTATTGTCAGTTCCGCGAGCATTTGCTTGTTCAATTTCTTAATGTGTGTGTAGTTGAAGTAGATCATTTCTGTGGGATTCACATTCAATTTGTTCATTAGATGTGCATAAGTTTTGTGGTGTCATTTGACCCTGATGTTAATTTGAGATGGCGTGCTCAATATGGGCCGAATTCAAAATGGATTGGAATGAAATATAACAGCCACAGCCTAACAGTAACAGGACGAGCACTGAAATAGGATATGCTGCATTTCTATTGTTGCTTGAGTGATTATATGGTGTAAAACTAAGTTGCAATATTCAATGCACCTAAGAAAAATCTATACTATAAACAAAGTATAATAGTGATAAAATGATAATCTTCAATGTCTTCCATCCTCAGGCCACTCAAGTTTTGGAATGAAATAGATAGAGGTATTATAGAGAGGTGGATATATTGATACCATACTACTTCTTCCATCGCTAGGTTTTTCTTGATAAGTGAGCCTTAGAGACTGGGTTCAAGCCGTGCAAAAAATGTCATATAGTAATATAAGGTAAAGTTGTGTATATTTTTCCTTAATGGCCTGGCACTTCCCCAGACCTTGTATATGTCATATGTGGGAGCTCTTATGCACTGGACTGACCCTTGTTAAATATTATTTGATATATGATACGGAGTATTTGCATAGAGTATCGTTGTTTATTAAGAACCTAAGGTTTTTGCTCATGCAACTTTCTTTTCTCTTTATGATTTATTGAATAAATTTAATACTTTGCATTTGCTCATGCTAATTCCTCCTACATTTGCAGGATTGTTGTACGAAATGCTTAGATCTGCCAGATCAAAGGATTCAAAATCAACATGGAAGGTAAAGATTCTATTTGTGCCTCTGTGGTTTGCTTGGTCTTCTATTGATTGACCAGTTGATGATTAAGTCCTTTATGATTCTATACTTTCTTAGCTTGCAAGTTTGACCCCTCAAATTGCAGGTACTGATAATGGACAAACTAACAGTCAAAATAATGTCATATGCATGCAAGATGGCAGATATCACAGAAGAAGGAGTTTCTTGTAAGTCAACTCTACTTTTACCTATTTCTTGAAGGATGATTGGTTGAATTCTTATAGTGCTTCTTATTCAGATTGTTGTACATATATAAAATCATTACTTTATGTACAAGTGAAGACTCACATTTGATATGTTTTGTAAGAATAAACTGCATATATCAGTTCAATTATTTGTTGAGTATGCGATTCGATAATCTATTCTCTCCAACTACATTTGCGCAATTACTTACCAAAACGTGTTTAAAAACACCATACTGACATTAAGTTAATGCCATTGAAGTGTGCATAATTCTGTTCTTCTTGTACGTCAAGATGTACCTCTGATAAATTCATAAGTTTTTTACTTCCTTGTTTTCCTGGATATATAGACCTACTACTTCAAGATATACAAGTGAAGACTCACATTCGGATGTGTTTTTAAGAATAAACCACACTTCAAAATTCTATTTTTCTTGTATGTCGAGATGCACCTTTTATAAACTCATTTTTTACTTCACTGTTCATATCTGTGTGCAAGCTTAATGTTTGGTTGCATGCTCTTTAGAGATTTAATAACCGGAGTATGATAATACCATAGGTGAGTGCTATTTATCTTTCCATGTTAAATTTTAATGAGACGCAAGTGACATATAAGTGTTGCTCATGTGGTTTTTTTGTATGGGTTCATATAAATGGAACTTATTAAATGCAACGTATTATGCATGCAGTTAGAATAATATATAAATTTGGTCTCCACACATGATGTTTTTTTTCTACTGGAAAAATAAGTTGTTTCACCTTTCTTGCTGTGCGAGATATGCATTTTACCCCTTTCCATTTTCTTGTGCATCATATAACATTTGAAACTTAATTGTTTTGATTTTTTCCTTTTTCTCTATAGTGGTGGAAGATATTTACAGGAGAAGACAGCCAGTCCCCACAATGGATGCCATATACTTCATCCAGCCCACAAAAGAGAAGTAAAAAATCATGTTAATCATAAAATAACTTTTGAATCTTTACATAAAAACCACAATAGCTTTTGGAGCCTGTAGCTTTTAAAATCGTAGCTCTTGAGAACTCTTCATTTTAACTGGTTTGACCTGCTATTTGATCTGCAGTGTTATGATGTTTCTCTCTGACATGGCTGGGAGATCACCATTGTACAAAAAGTATGTTGAAGAATCACAATTTATTGAAACTGGACATCATTTCATTTTTCATTTTATCTTTTCGGTGAAAAAATAGAGTTCAGATGTCAAACTATAATCTCAGATCTGGATAAATGAAGTAGCTCTACTCTTTTGCTTGACCCCATTTCTCTAACGTCCAACATTACAAGTTGTGGCACCTATATTATGGAATTTAAAATATTTAATGTTTCTCACTTTGAGCTTGTGCATTACAACAATTCTTCTTAGGGCATTCGTCTTCTTTAGTTCCTCTATATCGAAAGAACTTGTTGATCAGATAAAGAGGGATACTAGTGTTCTCTCTCGCATTGGTGCCTTGAGAGAGGTTAGTCTGTCTCCTGTAGACTGTTCATTATGTTTTTAATATTTTTAATATTTTTATTTGCATTACTGATTTTTGGATTTAACATACAGATGAACTTGGAATACTTTGCCATAGATAGTCAGGTATGCATGGTGCTAGTTCCTCTATGTTAGGTACTAAACAGTCTAAACTTAAGTTCTCAGTATTAAAAAATGTAGGGTTGTTCTGTGCTTTTCGCTTTAACTATGACAAGTAGAGCAATGATTAAGCTTTATTTAGTTCCCATTTCTTTCTATTATTTTTGGCTGGCTATGTAAATTTTTCTGATGAAATGTTTTAAAATGGATTTGGCAAGAATAACTTTCCATTGTATGGGATAAAAAATCTTTTTTAGACAATTATGGAATTTGTTGATTATTGACAAACTTATGTCCCACTTATAATTAAAGTCGAATCTTTTATGTTATCTATCATTGTGTATGCTTTATGTTAGGGTTTTATAACTGATAATGAGAGGGCCCTAGAGGAACTATTTGGAGATGATGAGGGTTCTCTAAGAGGTGATGCATGTCTAAGAGTGATGGCCTCCCGTATCGCTACAACATTTGCCTCATTGCGGGTATGCTGCCAAGATCTTGAGTCTAATTTATTACAGTATAATGAGCACTGCTGACTACCGACTATCCATCACTTTGACTTTCTACAGGAGTTTCCATTTGTTCGCTACCGTGCCATCAAATCTATTGACCCGACCACAATGACTACATTTCGTGATTTGGTTCCAACAAAGCTTGCCGCGGCCGTATGGAATTGTATTGTGAAGTATAAATCTACACTTTCTCACTTCCCACAAACAGAAACATGCGAGCTTCTTATTGTAGATAGATCAGTTGATCAGGTCATTTACTGCAGCCTCTTTATCCTTTTTGAAGTTGCTTGTTTAATTTTCTCCACTCATGTTCTCTATTTTCTAATTTTCTTAGGTTGCTCCAATAATACATGAGTGGACATATGATGCCATGTGTCATGATTTGCTGGACATGGAAGGAAATAAGTATGTGCATGAGGTAGATCATGCGTTTAGTTTTGTGTATTAATTAGATTTTTATATCTTCCTTGTTGAAGTAATTTATCGCTTAGGTTCCGAGCAAAATGGGTGGGCTTCCTGAGAAGAAAGAGGTTCTTTTGGAGGATCATGACCCTATCTGGTTAGAGCTCCGACATGCACATATTGCAGATGTATGTTCATTCCTTTACTTTCAAGTAATGAAACATATATGCATTCTATTGTTGATCAATAATTGAATTGTCAGGCTAGTGAACGCCTACATGAAAAGATGACAAATTTTGTCACAAGAAATAAAGCTGCACAAATCCAGCATGGTTCACGGTTAGCATTATTTTCATTTCTTTAATCTGCCAGTCTGAAATTATCAAGTATTTTACAATCTCATACTCCATCAAGTAGCAGAGTACTGGAATGCTTATTTGTTACTGCAAACTGATTATTTACCTGTAGAGATGGTGGCGAGTTGTCTACACGGGATTTGCAGAAAATGGTTCAAGCTCTTCCTCAATATAGTGAACAAATTGAGAAGCTCTCACTCCATGTGGATGTGAGTTTTGTACATGTTGCACTTGGTTGTTTTTAATTGAGCTAATGCTTTAGTTTTATATTTCCAACTATTAGGTGTGCTCTGGTAGCTGACCATTTACGTATATATGTTTATTTCAAGTTTCATCTAATATTTGATTCTACACCAACTCTCCAATGGGGGAGTAAGATCTAACCACACAAGCACGGGATTAAAGTGACATTGTTCTTAAAAGCAGGCTAGTTCTCTAGAGTGATTCACTTCCAGGAAGGCAACCCTAGACAGGCTAGGCCCTCAATTGCACGCCCTAGATGGGCTAGGTCCCAAAATAGGCTCCCTAGATGGCCTAGCGTCAAGTTTTGGTGCCCAAGTAACAAATAATGAATTTTAGAAGATTGAGTACTAGTAGCTGAAATCAGTTTGTCACTTTGGTGTTACTTCGCATTTTATAGTTGATTGTTAGGAACAATAATTACGGGATGCTTGGTTGGAAGAAAGGAATGACTGATGAACATAGTGGGGCATGGATATGATTTCAAATGTTAAACAGGAATGAGCGTGGAATATAAAAAGAAAATTAATACCTAAGGTTTGGGTCGGAGGTAGGAACTCTTTTTCCTCTTGTATGAGGATTTATAATTCATAGGAAGATACTTTTTGTTCAGTAAACAGGGAAATTGAATGATGTGCAGAGTTATTGTCTGTTAGCTGGTTTGTAAAAGAAACAAAATTTCATTGTACAAATATGATAGGTATTGTACAAATAAAAGTATTGTTTTTGTCAGGATTCATGCTCATCAAATGTGACTATAGCATTTAGTACCATGTTGCGTATGTTAATATATCTACAAACTAAATCCAAGGGAAATCATCTGATTGTTGAAGAGCTCACAAATGGCTGTGTGCCCCACATCTATTCTGTTCGGCTATTAGAGCATTTCCATTGTTAATAAATGGACTATATGAATTTGTTTGTCGAGTACTCCATATTTCAAGATGGCTGCCAAAGCACAGCTATCTCACTTTTATAAAGTTATAGCGACCAGCCGAGGAGGTTGCCAATTTCGCGCCTAGGATGCTAATTTTGCACCAATACCACTTATTTATTGCAGCTGTTGGCTCCCTAAGCATAGGCATGTCAATGACCGGTTCTTTGTGTGAAAGACATTAAAGAATATTCTATAATGTCTTTCACACCAAAAGACATTATAGAATATTCTTTAGAATATGTTTTAGAATATTCTTCTATCTTTAGAACATGCTTTAGAATATTTTAGGAATATACTCTAGGATATTATTATTGTATAGAATCTTAAAGGAATATTCTATCTTTGTAATGTATATATACATGGGCTTGACCCTCCAATGAAATATACACAAAAATCATTCTTCTCATTACTATTCTATCTTTAATTCTTACAACATGGTATCAGAGCAATCTGTTCCAGTTTAGCTTAGCAGTATTTTTCAGAACCTCAGTTCATGGCTCAGCCAGAACCTTAGCGCAAAATTCAGAACCTCAGTCCAAAATCCACAGTTTCACAGAGCATCACCTCCACCCTAACCAGTCACGAGTCACGACTTCCGCCGCCGACCTTACACTTGAAATCCGCAGGCCACACGCGTCGTCAGAGGACCTCGCAGACCTAATCGCAGACCCAATTGCCGAAGAATCCATCGGAATTATTTTCAGGTGTCTTGAACGATATTATCTTTCTGTGGCTTTGCTTATTAAGTAACGACGACATTCAAGGATAGTATTTTGGTCACTGTAAGTTTACTTAATACATAGCATCTCATTTCTGCAATTAAAAAAAAATCAAAAAAAAAAATATAAAAAAAAGTCAAAAAAAAAAAGTAAAAAAAAAATGCCTGGTTCTGATACAGACACTTCTACCGTACAACATGCTCAGCCTTTGGTAGTTTCCGAAGTTATTCCCATTAATTTTAAAATTACTGAGAATAAACTTTGTGGCTCTAACTATCTTGAATGGAGTAAAACTATCAAACGTTATTTACGAAGCATTGATAAATACACCCACTTAGTTGATGACCCGCGAAAGGAGGAGATTGATAGAGCTGCTAATGCTGTCTGGCTTCGTGATGATTCTAGATTATTTATCCAAATTCAGAACTCCATGGAGAATGACGTCATGTGGTATGTTAGTCATTGTGATACTGTGAAAGAACTGTTTGATTATTTAGAATTTATGTATTCTGGCAAAGGTAATCTTAACCACATCTATGAGGTGTGCAAAGCCTTTTACGGGGCAAAAATGAAAGATAAGCCTCTCACAGCTTATTTTATGGATTTCAAGAAAACGTATGAAGAACTTAATACCTTAATGCCATTTAGTCCTGATATCAAAGTGCAGCAGAAACACCGAGAACAAATGGCAGTCATGAGCTTTTTGGCCGATCTTACGTCTGATTGTGAAACAGCCAAATCACATATCATGTCTAGTGATGTTGTCTCTTCTCTTCAAGATGCTTTCAGTAGAGTGCTTCGCACTGACACTTCATCCACATCATCGGCACCTCAGCCAAGCAATGCTTTTGTAGGGCAATTCCCAACATTCCCCAATGGAGGTGAGAAATGGCCACGCGCAGGACCGATTGGCAAAGGAGTAGTATGCAACTACTGTAAGAAACCCGGGCACTTGATCAAAGATCGTCGAAAGCTAAAGTTCAAAAATCAAGGAAATCAAGTCGCTCACATTGCTTCCGCTACACAGTCGTCTAATGGATCCATCATTATGTCTTCTGAGGAATATGCCAAATTCCTAGGTTACCAGGAGGCTCTAAAGCATTCATCTACTCCTATCTCAGCTGTAGCTAATTCAGGTAATCCAAACACATGTCTTGTATCTTCATCCTCAAAATGGGTTATCGATTCAGGAGCAACAGATCATATGACAGGTAATCCTAGTCTTTTTTCCTCATTCCACACACCTCTTCATACTTCTAGTGTGACTTTGGCTGACGGATCTATGTCACCCGTTCTTGGTACGGGTACAATTGTCCCAACATCTACCTTACCTTTGTCACCCGTCCTAAGTCTTCCAAATTTTGCTTTCAATTTGATTTCGATCAGCAAAATCACACGTAAACATAATTGTTCTGTAACCTTTTTTCCTGGATATTGTGTATTTCAGGATCTGTTGACGAATCGGGTTATTGGTAAAGGATATGAGTCGGCCGGTCTCTATCTCTTGGATACATCCTTACCCAAATCAATCTCTTGTCTTGGCATTGGAACTGTGTTAGAGGCTCACTATCGACTAGGTCACCCTTCTCTTCCGTCGTTAAAGAAGCTTTATCCTCAATTCAATAAGGTATCATCTTTACAGTGTGATTCGTGTCAATTTGCAAAACATCATCGAAGTAGTCTAAGTCCCCGAGTCAATAAATGAGCACATGCTCCTTTTGAACTGGTTCATTCTGATGTTTGGGGTGCTTGCCCTGTTGTGTCCAAATCTGGTTTTAAATATTTTGTTACCTTTGTTGATGATTATTCTCGTATGACTTGGATTTATTTTATGAAACGTCGTTCCGAGTTATTTTCTCATTTTTGTGCCTTTTGTGCTGAAATCAAAACTCAATTTAATGTACCTGTTCGTATTTTAAGGGGAGACAATGCTCAAGAGTATTTGTCTGCCTCATTTAAGTTGTATATGGCTCAACATGACATAATTCATCAAACTTCATGTGTAGACACACCTTCCCAAAATGGAGTTGCTGAACGAAAGAACAAACATCTATTAGAAACTGCGCGGGCTCTTCTATTCCAAATGAATGTGCCAAAACATTTTTGGGCGGATGCTGTGTCTACCGCATGTTTTTTGATCAATCGAATGCCATCTACTGTTTTAGATGGTAAAACTCCCTATCAGTGCCTATTTCCAAATAATGAAAATTTTCCTATTCCTCCTAAAGTTTTTGGTTGCACTTGTTTTGTACGAGATGTTAATCCCCATTTAACAAAGTTAGATCCCAAGTCATTAAAGTGCATTTTCTTAGGCTACTCTCGAGTTCAAAAGGGGTACATATGTTTTTCTCCAAGTACAGGTTGGTATATTGTTTCAATTGATGTCTCCTTTTATGAAAATACACCATTTTCATCAACAGACACAAATATTTGTAGGGAGAATGATGATATACTCATTTACACAGTCACTATACCCGAGTCCAATACTTCAGCAGTTCTTCCCCATGTTACTTTTCCTGAGCCTAGGCCTCCGATACACTTTGTATACACCCGTCGACATAAAGTGCAAGATCATCCTCCACCTGTGGTTACTTCTCCTGATACTGATCCGACCTCATATCCTGAACCGACACCTGCATCTTCAGATCCTGTCTCTACATCAGATCTTGATCTCCTCATTGCAATACGTAAAGGTACACGGTCTTGTACTCATCCTATTTCTTCATGTGTGTCGTATAATCAGTTATCATCTGCCTCATGTTCTTTTATTGCTTCCATTGATTCTATTTCTGTTCCCAAATCTGTTAAAGATGCTTTGTCTCATCCTGATTGGCGTCATGCCATGGTAGAGGAAATGAATGCTTTGGATCTTAATGGTACCTGGGATTTGGTAGACTTGCCTACAAGGAAGAAGTCTATAGGATGTAAGTGGGTCTTTGCTGTAAAGGTTAACCCTGACGGATCCGTTGCTCGGTTGAAAGTCCGATTAGTTGCAAAGGGTTATGCTCAAACCTATGGTGTTGATTATTCTGACACATTTTCTCCTGTTGCTAAATTAACATCTATCAGATTACTTATTTCTCTCGCAGCAACTCATGGTTGGCACTTACATCAATTGGACATTAAGAATGCATTCTTGCACAGTGATCTTCAGGAGGAAGTTTATATTGAGCAACCTCCGGGGTTTGTTGCTCAGGGGGAGTAAGGGAAAGTTTGTCGACTTCGCAAGTCTCTTTATGGTTTGAAACAGAGTCCCCGTGCATGGTCCGAGAAATTCAGCCAATCAATTGAACGGTTTGGGATGATAAAAGGCAAATCAGATCACTTTGTATTTTACAGACGAACGAAAACAGGTATTACATTGCTTGTGGTGTATGTCGATGACATTGTGATTACAGGGAGTGATAATGCAGGTATTTTGGCCCTAAAGAATTTTCTTCATAGTCAATTCCAGACGAAAGATTTGGGCTCATTGAAATACTTCTTGGGAATTGAAGTTACACGGAGTAAGAAAGGCATATTTCTATCTCAACGTAAATATGTGCTTGACTTGCTAACTGAAACAAGGAAATTGGGGGCAAAACCAAGCAGTACTCCCATGATTCCCAATGTACAACTCACTCATGAAGGTATGCCATTCGAAGATCCGGAAAGATATAGACGGTTGGTTGGAAAACTTAATTATCTCGCAGTTACCCGTCCAGATATTGCATACTCAGTGAGTGTAGTAAGTCAATACATGTCATCTCCGACAGTTGATCATTGGAATGCTGTAGAGCATATATTATGTTACTTGAAGGGGACACCGGGACGAGGTATTGTTTATCAGAATCATAATCACATGAGAATAGAATGCTTTGCAGATGCTGATTGGGCTGGATCTAAAGATGATAGAAGATCCACATCTGGCTATTGCATCTTTGTTGGTGGTAATCTCGTCTCTTGGAAAAGTAAGAAGCAGAATGTGGTTTCTCGTTCAAGTGCTGAATCAGAATATCGGGGTATGGCACAATCAGCATGTGAGATAATCTGGATAAACCATTTATTGAGTGAAATGGGATTGAAGACACCAATGCCTGCTAAACTCTGGTGTGATAACCAAGCTGCTATACACATTGCCAATAATCCAGTGTTTCATGAGAGAACAAAACATATTGAGATCGATTGTCACTTTGTTCGATAAAAGATACAACAAGGATTGATCTCTACAGGATACGTGAAGACTGGAGAGCAACTTGGAGATTTGTTCACTAAAGCACTAAATGGAATTCGTGTTGGTTACTTATGTAACAAGTTGGGCATGATAAATATTTATGCTCCAACTTGAGGAGGAGTGTGAAAGACATTATAGAATATTCTTTAGAATATGTTTTAGAATATTCTTCTATCTTTAGAATATGCTTTAGAATATTTTAGGAATATACTCTAGGATATTATTATTGTATAGAATCGTAAAGGAATATTCTATCTTTGTAATGTATATATATATGGGCTTGACCCTCCAATGAAATATACACAAAAATCATTCTTCTCATTACTATTCTATCTTTAATTCTTACAACACTTTGGTTGACCGGCTGGTGCTGGTTTACACAGGACGATTACATGAGTGTTCGAACAATTCTAGGCTTGTTGGTATTTCATTTATAGTGATAAATTATTATGATGGAATATGCATTTTTAGTGATGTCGAAGCGTAACCTTTGTCAACTCAGAAATGTTAAACAACTTGTTGAGCTGCTTTTATTGCTGAATTAAATAAGAGTAAAACAAGGCCATTCACCATTTAGTTATGTAAATTTGATAAACAAAACCATGTTTTGACACATCAGGCCTGAATTAGTATGAGAGTTTATTCAGAAATTTATTCCTTCAATAGGCTAAATGTCTGTTGATATTATAAATACCTCATATCCCCTGCAAGCCCTTGGTTCTCATACTAAGGTTGTGAACTTTTAAACAAAGATAACACATTCTGCTCATTATCATGATAACAAGAATTTATAGACTACCACTTTTTGTTTCTATGAATAACTTTTCTCATTGTAACTGTCGTTTTGGCTGATTTTGTATCTTGCTAGATTGCTGGAAAGCTGAACAAAATTATCAGAGAGTTTGGGCTTAGAGAGCTAGGGCAATTAGAGCAAAATCTCGTCTTTGGAGATGCAGGGACTAAAGATGTTATTAATTTTCTGAGAATGAATCAGGTGGGAACTGTATATTTTACTTTCTAAAGTTCATTTGTACTTAAACTATATCTTCTAACTTTCTCCTGCAGGATGTAACTCATGAAAACAAGTTGCACCGTGAAAACAAGTTGCGCTTGTTAATGATATATGCAGCAGTTCATCCTGAAAAATTCGAAGACGATAAACTTGTAAAACTAATGGAGGTAACTACCTTTACTTGAGCTAAAAATAACTGTTGAAACATGACAATATGATAGTCTTTGTTTGGGATTGAAGAAGTAACATAACAAGTACTCTACATATTCCTTTATATCTTGTACTCCCTCTGTCCCGTTGGAAGGTTCCCATGGGTAAATGGCACGATTTGTTAGGCAAGTGGTTAAATAAAGTAATTTGGGTAAAAAAGAGAGGAAAGAGAAAATTTAGAAAAAGTAAACAAATAAAGTGAAAGTAATTATAGGGAGATAAGTTGGGGGAGAGTAAATTGTGAGACTTGACATGTAATGAGTAGGAAAGAGAAACTTGAGTAAAACGTAATTAAAAAGAGTAATTTTTTTCCGAAAATGGAATGGGAACCTTTAAATGGGACACCCAAATAAGGAAAGTGGGGGACCTTTCAACGGGACGGAGGGAGTATGTATAAAAGAATGCTTTTGTTTTTTTAATTTCTTTTTTGTTTTTAATTCTTTTCTTTTCAAGCCAGCTCCTACTTGTAAAAGTAAATAAAAACAACTGGTAATCAATATTGATCCAAGTATAACTCGTCTGTTTGACATAGGGATTGTCATGTGCGTAGATGTCAGCTATTCATTTTTTATTCATGGGTTAGGGCCCAGGAAAGTTGGGTCTGCATCTTTGACTATATGATACTTAATCCATCTAAAAAAGAATCATATTCCATAAAAGAAATAAGATTCTGGTTTAGAAGTCAAGTTTCATTTTCAGTGAAATTTCCATAAAGCTAAGCTGCAAACAATTTTACACAAGTACTCCAAAGTCCAAACAATCTTGAAAATCAGTTTTACGGGTCGAAGTGACCATTCATAACTTGTAAAATCTTATACTTTGATTTTGAAAAGGGCAGCCCGGTGCACATTGGCTTCCCATCAAGGCAAGGGTCTGGGGAAGGGGCCCAAACATTGTCATTTTGACAAGAGGCATTGCTCAAGACTTAAACTTGTGACCTCTCACTCACCCAACAACACTGTAACCTGTGCGCCAAGGCCCCCCCCCCTTCTATACCTTGATTTAGTTGGCTAAAAATAAAAAGTTGTACCTTCTTCAAATCTGGACCCTTTCTTTTCAAAAGAAGGGAGTATATTTTCTTTTCCTTTTTCTTTTTTTCTTTTCTCAGCTTCCTATATTTCAAAAAGTACCGACTTCATTCGTAGTGGATATATAATGAGACAGTTATTATTGGTGCTAATTCTTTTGGTGCATCTTGATATTTGTGTTTAGTTAGCAATGTTACCTCAAGACGATTTGAATGCTGTGTACAATATGAGGTTGCTGGAGGCTGCATCGGAAAACAAAAAAAGCTCAATTGTACCGTTTTCTCTTAAGTTTGATATTAATAAGGTGTGTAACTGGATGTGTAGCTGACCTTTGTGTGCGTGTCTGTGGTGTATGTGCTCTTTCTTATCAGTAAATTATCTTGGATTTACAGAAGAAGCATTCTTCTGCTAGAAAAGACCGCAAAGATGAAGAGTCGACATGGCAACTATCTCGTTTCTTCCCTATGATTGAGGTTCAATCCAAACATTGAAATATCTTTTTGAAGAATCGGTGGATATTTAAACATCGATATAGGATAGTTTTTGGGCAAATAATGTATTTTCAATGTTTTTCGAGAAAAAATAATGAGATTTCTGATATTCCACGTTCTTTAGAATTTTCATCTTCCCCCATATCTATACCAGAGACCTCAAATTGTAGAATTTTTTTGACAATATTGGGTTATGTTGATCATTGCATGCAGTCACATCTGTACTTAGCATTTCTTGAAGACTGGTTATTGTGTTTCCACATAGGGTATGTTTGGATCCCAAAGGAAAATTTACAAGTTTAAAAAATTTGACATTTGTTCAGAGTTCTTAGTATATTAATGATAGAAATAGACAATGACAATGAGTTTTAACAATATCAAAGATAAATCTATGTAGTTGGTACTAATGTTTTCTTTTCCCTCACGTTTTATTTTCTTCCATAACTCCCTTATATTTTCTCTCACTAGTATTTTATGAACTCCCTTTCATTTTTATCTCTATTTTCTTTCCTTAGGAACTTGTTGAAAGATTGAGTAAAGGGGATTTACCCCAGGATGAGTATCCATGCATGAACGATCCAAGTCCATCATTCAATGGGACCTCCCAGGTTGGTGCATCGATGCGACTTAATAGTGTTCCAGCTCCTCATTCTATGAGATCTAGACGGACTGCAACATGGGCGCGCCCTCGAGGTTCTGATGATGGCTATTCAAGGTACAGTCCCATGTGCTCCCATTGAGAGCCTGTAGTTCGGGAAGAGATTATCGGCCACCAAAAAGACTTAAATAGCTGAAACTGCTGAAACTATGCTGAAAATTTTGAATTAACTCAATAGGAGGATGAATTATCTAAAACGTATATAATTCTGTAATGAATTTAAGTTAATGGACAAATTACTACAAAGACCCATACTTTCCGATGACCCACAATTTATTTCCAAATGACCCACTCTCTCTTCACTTGCATCATGTTAATTATTCATCTTCTGACATGTGATCTAATCTCGTTATTTCTTTTAGTGATTCGATTCTGAGGCATGCATCAAGCGACCTTAAGAAAATGGGTCAACGCATTTTTGTGTTTATAGTTGGTGGGGCTACTAGATCTGAGGTATATTTACACACTTCTCATACTGTACACAATATACATGCCGCACATAATACCATAATATTTTATGGTATTTTACAGTTACGAGTTTGTCACAAATTAACAACAAAGCTAAAGAGAGAAGTGATATTAGGTTCATCCAGCCTTGATGATCCTCCAAAATTTATTACGGTATGCAAATTGAATACTTATTTATTCCCTTCCCCCATACACCCACACCATAGTAGGGCTGTAATGAACTAAGAGGAGCCAATATTTTGATAGTTTTTGTTTGCCTCGTTTATTGTTTGGCTGAGCCTAAGTTTTTTCTTACTCTAAGTTAATAAGCTCAGTGAGATATTTCTATATATATATATATATATATATATACCATCTATATAACCAAACAAATTTTAAAATTATGATTAAGGGCTTCTTGGGTTTTTACCACTACTTTTGAATTTCTGGTTTTATGATATTAAGATTTGCATGACAGATGTTTGATAATGAACTACGACAAAGTAGTCATACTTTAATTACTCATACAGTCATACTTTAATTACTCATACAGTCATACTAACCATGTTAATTTTTAAAAACGCCTAAGAAACAGCAAACCACAATCTTTTTTTTAGTTTTCAGAAAACAAAACAGGAAACATAAAATAATAGTCGATAACAAACATCTCCTAAATGTTTAAGCATATGTTCTAAATTTATGACGTGTTGTATGAGAAATTTATGACTTGTTGTATGAGCCAAATGTTATTTTTTAAATTTAGCGATCTGGGTGAATGAGCAAAAACTAATGTTGTTCCGAATATCCCACGAGCAGATTGGCTCATTCCCCCCCCCCCCCCCCCCCCCCCAAATCCCCTTCTCCCTTAATGTTTTGCTGATGCTGTATCAATAACTGGTGCAGAAACTGAAACTCTTGACTGCCAATGATCTATCTTTGGATGATCTGCAAGTCTAAGCTGGTTGCAAGCATTTGGCCTGTCATTTCCATAGGGCAGCATTTCTATTGTATTCATATATAGATCCTGTCATCCCAATTCATTTTATGACCTTCCTTTCCATTAGATTCGTAAGGCTTACAGTTGTATACCACTCTGCTGTGTGTATAAATATCCTTCATGTTGCTTGCCCCTAGATGAAAGCATGTGTTATTGTGTAGATGTTGATGTTACATTTTCTTCTTTCTCTTCCTTAGACTTGGTCTTTGTTTTTTAGCTCTGCACGTTTTTTCATCTGATAAGTCTTCTCCTATTAAGCATTGCTGGCTTTTTCTGCCTTTTGACTTGGAAGCATGGATGAGTGAATGACTCTCTTTTTGTCAACTGGTGCGCTCCTGATTATTGAAAATTCGAGACTAGTAAAGAAATCAGAATCTTATATTGACAATGGTTTCTAATGTTAAAATATAACAAAAAATGATACTCCCTCCGGTTCGTATTAAAGTTCTCACTCTCCTTTTAGGGATGTCCCTTATTTAAGTTCACATTTCCATTGTAGGAAACAAAACAGTGCAAAACAGTGTCAAACAGTGTCCAAACAGTGTCAAACAGTGCACTCCACAGACCACAGTAAAGTCAAATTTATTTTCTTAATCTGTGTGAAGTCAAACTGAGAACTTTAATAGGAACCGGAGGGAGTACTATGTATTTTTTCTCTCAAAGAATAAGATATTATGTTTTTGAAGAAAGAATATGGATCTTTTTACTTGGACTGTAATTTGCTGGTTTGGTCTGAAATTTTTATTTTTTATATTTTTTGCATAAAGATTTTATTTTATATATGTATATATTATAATCCATAAATAATTATATTTTATCCATAAACAAATTTGGGAAGACGTTCAGAAACCCAGAGCAACGGATACATGATGATATTTATTATTTTCTAGTACTTTTTTTTGTTCTAAAAAGATTTATAGTTTAACCATTATTCATACAATTTTTTTTACAAATCAAGAATTTTTTTTTATTTCTTTGTTTTTTATAAATCAAGATCATTTATATTATTCTGTCACTTGTATGACTTAAAATACGAATAGACTAAACCCAACAATAATAAAATAGTACAAGTATTAATAATAACAACAATAACAATACTACTATTACTAATAATAATAATAGTAATAATAGTAATAATACTAATAATATTACTACTAATAATAATAGTTATAGTAATAGTTATAATAATAATAAAATATGGTCTGGTCTGGTATGTTTTAGTCTGGTCTGTTCTGGTCTGGTCTAATCTGGAATAAAAACAACCTACATCCCTCATCCTCCGTAACTTTGCCTAGTTGGGTGACACATGAAATAAAGTAGCATAATTTGTACTACCTCCGTCCCGTTGGAATGTTCTCGTTCGGTTTACGATGCTTGATTGACGATAAAGCAACTTGATCCATGTTCACACTCCGCTTATTTTTAGTAAATAAAATTTAAATATTCAGAAACTACATTAAACCCGCTACAAAGCCTGATCAAGAAAAGTTCAATTTGATAAAAATTTGATATATAAAGTAAAAGATTAGGAGTGACCTAAGTTGACCAATGAATAGTGAACGGGAACATTTCAACGAAACGGAGGGAGTATTAAAAGTCGTAAAGTGTGTAACGTGTGTTACAATAAAAAAAAGTAATCAAATTTGCGAAGGCAATACATGTTTCCTATTTTCTTTTTTACATGAAAAAAAAAGAAAAGTACTACCTAGTTGTTTTATATTCTAATATCATATTGGCAACAATGTTTAGACGCATTGTGGCATCGCGGATTCGCACTGTACTCAGAGGTCGTTTGGCAACGCCGGCTTATCAGGCTTGTCAGTCACTTTTTTTCACCAAACTAGCCATGGTCCGGTTTCGGGTTGGGCTGGACTTCGGGCCAGTCCTGGGCGGGCATTTTATTGTTGGGGGAAGGCTTGGAACCGGCCCAGGTTTGCACCGGGTACGGGCCGGTCTCGGGCCGGTCCTTTTTTTCCCTAATTACCCCCCCCCCCCCCCCCCCCCCCCCCAACCCCCAAACCCCCCCCAAAACACCCAGCCCATCTAGGGAAAACAAAAAAAAATTGGAAAAACAAAAGAAAAAAACAGCCCCAACCGGGCCCGACCCAGCCGGGCCGGTTCCAAAGGAAGGGCAGCCCGGAACCGTCCCGCCCTAAGTCCCCGGGCCGGTCCTAGGCCCGGAACCGGTACCCGACTCCCGAGCTGGGCCCGCACAATAGCGAGCCGGTCGGCACGGTACCGGTCCAACACTACATCAAACACGTAACTTTTGCTTTCGCGCACTGAATTGTGTAATATAAGCAGAAAAAGTAAGATTAGGCTTACTTTTCTGGCTGTATTGGCTGAAGTCACTGTAGATGACAATTTTAGCGATATTTACATATAATTTTTCTTTGTTTTTTTAAAAAAATATATTGTAAAAATATTTTTTTTTCTTAAATCAACAGAATCAACCAATGCAGCAACTTCAGCAAGAACTTCATAAATTTCAGCAGAATCAGCCAAATCAACCGATTTTCGTGCTACCAAACGGCCTCTCGATCTTCCTAATTTTTAACAAGTTTATTTTTTTGAAAAGCTGAAACGAAATAGGAATGAATGTATTAATCAAGTTTTGGAAGGAGAAAGAACTTTGGAGCAATTGATGAAATAAAATAAGAGTCAATTGCTCCAAAGTTCTTATTTTATTACCAAATTAAGTCTGATTTCCTAAAATGTGACTACTTTTATATTTAGACAAAAATGTGACTAAACAAGTCATATTCATGTCATTACCAAATTTTAATGTCACTGATCAAATTTAATGTCACTATTGAATATCACTGTCGCCATCACCGGTGTCACAGTAACACCGCCCGTGTCACTGTGGCCACGGCCCGTGTCACGGTGGCCACGGCCCGTGTCACGGTGGCCACGGCCCGTGTCACGGTGGCCACCGCCCGTGTCACGGTGGCCACCGCCCGTGTCACGGTGGCCACCGCCCGTGTCACTGTGGCCACCGCCCGTGTCACTGTGGCCACCGCCCGTGTCACTGTGGCCACCGCCCGTGTCACTGTGGCCACCGCCCGTGTCACTGTGGCCACCGCCCGTGTCACTGTGGCCACCGCCCGTGTCACTGTGGCCACCGCCCGTGTCACTGTGGCCACCGCCCGTGTCACTGTGGCCACCGCCCGTGTCACTGTGGCCACCGCCCGTGTCACTGTGGCCACCACCTGCCACCGCCCGTGTCACTGTGGCCACCGTCCTTGTCACCGTAGCCACCGTCCGATAATCCCTAGCGCCACCGTCCACCGCCCATCACCGGCTTGACTCCACAGCCCCTTCCCTAGCCCCCAGCCCCTTCCCTAGCCCCAACCCCTTCTCAGTCCAAGCAACAACCCCTACCCATATCCCCACGCCCCTAGCCATAGACATTCACCTGCCCCAACGCCCTAACCAGCCCGCCTCCCCTCTCCAGCCCGCCTCCCCAGACTCCCAGCTCCAACCCCGACGCAGTACCCTAGCCATGGTTGTGGACCACCTGCGACGACTGCTAGATCGAAGACAAAGCTCACCCAACGCCACCATCGACTCGCCAAAGAACCGCCACTACTCCGCCGCCAAGGTATCGCCGTCGTCAACAACATCCGCATGCGATGGAGTTCCAGATCTGAAGAAAGGAGAAGAAGCAGAATTCGATGCCAGAGTCAGCGGAGGTTTCAAAGGCCGCCGCCGATATCTGGCTATAGTCGCCGGATCTGTCGTCTTCAACGAAGTGAGGAGTGACGGATGTCCCCTGCTAGCCACGAACAAACTTGTAGATTTGGAGAATTCTGGATGTTGGCTAGGGTTGGCAGAGGAAAAGTAACGGGCTGGGGAAGTATTGGGCTGGGATAAGTCATATTTTTGTCCTTGTAAAAATTAGTGATATTTTTTTCAATTGAAACTCTAGTAGTCATATTTGGACCATTGTTTCTACTAAATAATCAGTTTTTCTATTTCAGAGTATTACCAATGAACTTTTTTTAATGTTAACAAACACGAACAAGCAACACAAAATACATATAAATATGAAAAAATTACTAATATATATGGGTATAGGTGTGTTAAATTCTCAATGTATGACTATAGTAGTCTTAAGTCATTTTCACTCATTTGTATCACTTAGACAAATCCAAACACAAATTTCACCCAAAATCATAAAAAGTTTTCACAGCGAGAGATCCTGACTTGTGTATAAAAATAAAAGGAAGAACTATCAAATAAGCCATCGATCTTTCATAAAAAGTGCAAATAAGCCCTTTTTAGGAGGCTTTGTCCAGCTTTCATCATTTGAGGCAGTTTTTGGTGGAATTTTTTAATGAAAGTTTTTGAGCATCTTCTTCATTAAGTCTACTTTCCCCATACCAAATTTCAGCTAAAAATGCAATCAAGAAGGCACTCAAATGATTTTCTGAAATATACTGCGTTGTCTAACAGCGCAGTTATCTTCAAAAATTCATTTGACTGCCTTCCCGATTGAATTTTTAGCTGAAATTTGGTATGTGTAAACTAGATTTAATGAAAAAAATGCTAAAAAAGATTTCATCAAACAATTGCACAGGAAACCGCCCCAAATGACGACAGACGGACAAAGCCTCTTGAAAAAGGGCTTATTTGCACTTTTATGAAAGTTCGAGGGCTTATTTGATAGTTCTCCCAAAATAAAACTCTCACATTCTATATATGCAATCTCCAGTTATATTAAGATTATTGAGATTTGACTATCGCATTTTTACTTTTTTATTTATTTTAGCAATCACCCTATATTTATTGAAAAAAATAAATCATGCTCAATTCTTGTAAAATTGACTTGCATTAAAGGCTCATCCATTATTGAAAGTATTGTTAAGATTGAACTTTCATTTCCTATAATAAACTAATGTTTTTGATCATATAAGTGGAGTAGACTTTGAATTATACAACTGAAGTATTAAAGATATCACACATTTAAGTCTATAATTCATCTAGAAGCTTGACACTAAAAAGGGGCTTTGTGTCCATTTTCATTCATGGGTTCCTACATGCCAAGCCTCAGGCTTAGTGAATGCATTTATTTCCCCCTTTGTATTACATTTGTATTATATACATTATAAATGTTGTAAAACAAAATAGCATATTAAAAAGCTCTTATTATCATTTAATACAATAACCGATTAATATAAATATTATGTTAGAAGTAATATTCTTCAATTTTTCACATCCAAGATATATATGTCACATAATATTGAATATATTTACTTTTGATCTACCAACTACAAATTAATTTATACTTCTTCATCGAACTGAACAGTTTAAACGTTATAGCAAAAGTCGTGAGAATTTTATTGGTTGATATATTTGTAGCTCAAAACACATTTTTTTATATATTTTGTGTGACTTTTCAGATTGGTTTATTATTTGATTAAGTACGTCTTTAATATAGTACGCACTAGTAAACCAATTGTTTTCAACTTTTATTTTTCTTTGATTTATTCTAATGGTAGATGGGTCAATCACTTCAAACTCGATCAACACTATGTTAATTTCGCATTAAACTCATATATTCATATCTATAAAATGTGAAAGACGGTTATAATATTTTTTAATTGGACTGATTTTGGAAAAAAGGCTAGACAAAAAATAAATAAAGTAGAACATACTCCATTAGTTTAGACTTTAACAGATTAGGTCAAATCAGATCAAATTTAGATAATACGTAGTAGTAAAATATACACTTACTAGACGTTAACCAACTCAGGATAAATTAGGTCATACCAAAATTAAAAAGAAACAAAATTTTACATATGCCATATTAGTGTCATATGAAATATCATAATTGTTTTTTAGTAGTTTGATTTTTTTTTTTTGGAAAATTCGAACACAAATGAAAGAATTATAACATTTTATAAATTAAAGGTGCAATTGGGATCCTTTTGTTTCGAAGTTCATATGAGGTAACCTTTTTCTCTAGCTTGCTAGGAACTCCAATGTGAACGAGTTATCATATCATCACCCATATCCATTACTTACATACGGAGTATAATTAACCATTTCTTTCTGTAATCTTTTTTCTTTGTTCTCTTGTACTACGTATTTTGTTAGTTGTGAAAGATAAACTATAAAGGGCTGCAGTTTCATGCGTAAAAGTAATAGCACATTCAACATATAATCGTCTTTTCTGTTTTCTAGTTTTTTTTTGGATTATTGAGTTTCCGGACCCTTAACAATTTCTTATCTTGCCTTCTTTTAAGACAAAATACTCGTAAACCAACAACATTACCTGATTGGGGGTAAGGGGTCGGATGTACCTACACTATTTTAGAATGACTATGATGAAAATCGTGTAAAAAATTGAATAAACTAACTGCTATTCCCTCCATCTCATTGAAAGGTTCTCACTTTCCTTTTTCGGACGTTCCATATAAAGATTCATATTTCCATTTTAGGAAACAATTAATAATTTTAAGTGATAAATTAATCATTAAATATTAAAAATAATACATTTATAACATCACAGTTATCAATACTAATTACATTTTAATATATACTCCGTATCTATTAAAATTATTTCTCAAAATATATCCAACTATTTTTTTTAATTATTATTTAAATAACCATGCCGTTTTGTTATGAAAATCTTCCAAACGGGATACTTGCTAATAAAGAAGCCAACTTTGCTTGGTGTACACCAAATGTGTACACCTTTTGTGTACACATGTCTATCCCCAGCAGATAAGTTGTCTGTCCACAGATAACTCTGTAGAGTTGTCTGTGGACAGACAACTTGTCTGCTGGAGACAGACATGTGTACACCTTTAGAGTTGTCTGTGGACAACAACTTATCTGTTGGAGACAGACATGTGTACACAAAAAGTGTACACATTTGGTGTACAACACACATTTTTCTAAAGAAGACGGTTAAGACCGTTTACGAAAGTACTAAATTTGAGAAAACCCCGTAGATATGAACAAATACTACTCCTGAGTAATTGGTGTGCGTACGTATAAGTAGTCGTGATTAATTGGTGCCCGGCCAGTCGGCCACTGCAAGCGAGCCAATTGCAGATCGATATGTGGGTATGGGTGGTTTTGTTCTTCCTACTACTCGCTGTCATCATTTCGGTTGCTTTTCAGGTCCTTTTCCCTCTTTTCTGCTATTTTGGCATCTCCATACCCATTTTCCCTCTTTCTTTCGTCCGATTAGATTCTGTCCATTTATTTATCTCATCTGTTTCTTAATTTTTCCATGCAAGAGGATGCTTTTTCCCATGAACAGTACTGGTGGATTCCGTTTTCCATTTTCCAATTCTTTTCTAATTGGAGTATTATCTCACACAAATATTTACGGAGTATGATCTCATCTACAACAATTGTATGTCAAAACATTAAACTTTGGCCCTAGTTATAAACTTTTTGAGGCTTTCACTTGGATTGAAATTTTCTGGTCGGGTCTGGCTTAATATGTTTGACATGAATGAATCTGAGTAATGGATTTAGGATTTAGGTTTTGGTTGTTCAATTCTTTTTAAGTAAAGTCTTCGAAATAGGAGTAAAAATGTTTTGAGATTTTAAAAATGGGAATACTATTTTCTAAGCTTGACAATAGTTACTCATATTTGGGGAATAAAAACATAATATTCTTGTCGTGGAATTCACAAACGTTTTATTCCATATTTTGAGTACTTTTTTACATTTAAAACTTAAAGAATAATAAATAATTAAACTAAATTTACACATAGACACTTACATCTTCTCAAAGTTTTGGGTGTTCATGTGAACGTCTTTGACTGACCTCGTAATGGTCATGATATATGTGTGTTTTAATTTGTTTAAGTAGTCTAGGCTAATCTGTTTAAGTATGATATGATTTGGTACGGTCAGATATGCCCTGAGACTGAATAGTTCAAGTGAAAACATCCTTTCATAATACAATATTACTGGCTCATCCAGTACTAGGGGCCCGAGGTAGGATCACCCTAACTTTAGTAAAAATAATTCATTTAACATGACTAAAAGTTACTCCGTACTATAGTACTAGTATAATGTCATGATCACTAAAGTGTAAAAATTGAACATATGTTACTATGACTAGAGTTACTATAATAATTGCACTTCATAAGTCAAATTTTTGTAAACAACCTTCATTTTAGTCATAAATTTGTATTTATTTCAACAAAATTCGAAAGTTATAAAATATACATTGACCAGACATCTACCCGACCAATTCTGACCGAACCAGACTTAAACAGGTCAGACCAGACTAGACCCTAAAAGTTATTTCTTTCCCCTGTGCACAAATATCAATCACACAATTTTTACTTTATTACTTTACATGTAAGTCAAACTTAACCAAGTTTTGTGGGACAGAGGAAATATAAATTAAAGTATGTTTTAGTCTGTTTTTAAAAATTTTGTTGTATTTTTTAATACATTATCTAATAGGTTAAATTTTTCACAGCTCATGTGTTTGGCTGATCTAGAAGTCGACTATATCAACCCTTATGACTCTGCCTCTAGGATTAACCAAGCTGTTCTTCCCGAGTTCATTGTACAAGGAGTTTTGTGCTTACTCTATCTGGGAACCGGCCATTGGATTATGTCGCTTCTTTGCTGTCCTTACTTATACTACGATGTGCACCTGTAAGTTCTAAAAACATTATAAGACTAATTGTAATTGAAGTGTTTTGTGATTATTATGTAAGACCTAGTATAAGTATAAAACTCTAAAATGCATAACGTCCTGAATGTAAGTCATGTTTGTTGCGATGCTTTAGGGATAGATTGCATATGCATTAGAAGCTTTGCACTCTTTAGAAGTTCAATATATTTGTTTGGTTATTTTTTATTTTTTTATGTATTTATTAATGGTAATGAAAGAAGTTACAAGACAGAGAAAAAAAGAAAGAAAACAACAAGAAAGCCCAACCCGAGGGTTATCTTTCTTTCTTGTTTTGGAGTAAATAAATTTATCTATAACCCACATTCTTGATTTTGTTGAGTTTATTTTTCTGTTATTTCTTATATTTTGTTCTAGGTGAATAAAAGGCATCCTTTTGGCGTATAGATTATCTTGTAACACCCACCAATGTTTAATACTCTTTGTATTAGGTATTTGCAGAAACAACACTATATGGACGTGACTGAGATTTTTAACCAGCTCAATTGGGAGAAAAGACAAAGACTTTGGAAACTTGGGTATCTTGTTATTCTCTTCATCATCTCCTTAGTTGTGTAAGTCACTAATCTGGAAAATTAAACCACATGTAGAACTCCAAGAGTTGCAACTTGCAAGCATGGGTTTTTTACTAGTTTGAAGAAAGGAACTTAGACTTGCACGTTCATTGTGTAGGTTGATACGTTGTATCGTGGAAGACGATGATCAAACGTTAAAATATCCTTTGTAGTGTATCAATTTTCACATTCCAAGGTAAGGGTTTGCATAAATTAAGGCACAAACTGTGATCAGAATTCAGAACCAATGACTTCAGATTCGGGAAAATCGACTATTCTGAATCCAGAACGATTCAAAATCAGGTACTGGTACTGACTTGACCAGTACCGATTGTCGGTCAACCAAAACTGAATCGGTTTGGAATTGATTCTGAATTTCTTACTTAGAACTGCAAAATCAGGTCAATCATGGGTCTAGTGTGCATCTTAAATTGTATGTTTCATATCTTCTCATAATGTACTATAACTATGACTATAATGCAGGAGGCTCATAACATACGACCAAAATAAATAACAGAATCTTAATTAAGGTGAAATTCAACAGTCCTACTAATACATCTAAACATTCTACACCACTGAGGAGCATAGTTGCCTATCTAATGCACTACTCTCTCATCAGTATTACAACACAGATCTTAATGAAATTAATTAATTTGCAGATACAAGTATTTTTCTTTACTTGACACCACAATGGTTGAGGAAAAAGAAGCCTGGGTGAGTATTGATTGTTTCATCCCCTTAACTTACCATCTTATGCAGGCTAGGCTCATTCATATCAGTTGGCTTATTCCTAGAGTCCGGGTGCAGATGGATTGAAGAGGGTGATAACAAGGCGGGCTTCCCAGAAGTGCGATAATAGTTTTCAGTTTCTGGACTGCGGATGGGAGCAGAACCACCAACTGCAACTCTCTCCTGCCTCTGTTTCTTGATGTTCTGCTGCTCCAGTTGATTCTCAGCAACGAAACTGCCCACTACAATCTGGTTGATTTATATTAAGACTTGATTACATTCATTGTAAACAAATTCTATTTACAACTACTTTGTTCTTCTTTTTGTAAGATCGATTACATCTACCTTCTTTGATATTCACTCAAATTACCGAATGGTCCTGAAGACATTATCATGAGTGGGAGTTCAAAAGTTATTGATTTGACCAAATATGAAATAACAAATCAATTTATAAGATCATGGGCTACTCTAATTGGTTTGACCATTTAGGAATGGATCCAAAGTAAATGTGGTATTTGAGTCAACGGTTGGCATGATGTTGGCATCGCCCTTTAAAAGATGCACAGTCTAAGTGATGTATTGAACCGCGAGGATGTGTGCCCTTATGAGATGAAAGAAAATGAAGGATTGATTAAATTGGGTCAAGCTCACTGAATATATTAGATAGAGATCTAGAAACCATTCGATGTGTGCCTCAGAGACAAGTTAAAAAGTTTCCTGGGGACAAATGTAAGGGCAAGCTAGTCTGTAAAAAATCAAAATCATACTAATATCATTTGTGGAAAAACCGACTTCTTAAAGGGTTTGATAACAAGGATCATGGATTTAGTAATTTGACCAAACGTTGGGGAAGACAGGTATATAACCCCTTCTTGATATCATTTCTAGAGAAAGTAGCTAGGAAAAAGATAAAAAAATACATATAGTATACCTGAATGGGAGCAGCGGCTACTAACATACCAGCAACAGCACCCCCTACAACTCGTCCATCAGGGCTTGCTAAAGAAACACTCATCCCACCTGATCTGTTACGGATTCCTCCCATCTCAGATGGCATAAACGATCCGGTCAATGACAGAATCTCAAAGCGGCCCTATCGAATAAAATTAAAGTCATTGGAAAAACTCAAACCTATAATGGGTTCTATCAAAAACTCAAGAAAAATACAAAAAGTAAATGTAGGGGGCATTGTTCAATAATATTTTGTATTTCTGATTAAGTAATACGTAGTATGTACTACCTCCGTTCTTAAATAAATGCAACACTTTGACTTTTACACTATTCACATGTTCTACTTTGACTACGTTTTATTTATTAATGTAATAATATTATTTTATGAAAAAAAATATTGTTAAACTTGTCTCATTGTAAATTTTCATAATCTATTTTTTTTAATTTTTTTACTAATACAAAATCATTTATATTAATGGTCAAAGTTGGGTCTCGGCAAGTGTGAAATGTTGACCGTTGCATTTATTTAAGAACGGAGGAAGTATAATACAAATCAAATATGTACATATATAACTATCAAGCTGTTTATTTGAATTATATTGGTAAACAAAATATAATATCATCATTTATTGCAAATAATACGGAGTATAAATTCCAAAATATATACATATCACATGTGAAACTGAGTTTATTAATCACTGTTATTATTCAATATTACTATTCAAAAAGTAATATTGTTTTACTTTTTACGTCCCTTTCACACTAAAAGTAAGAAATATTTCACGCTAAAAAAGGCGAATATGCAAATTCAAAATCATATTCAAATTACTTTGTTGTATTGAATATGCAACTTGGATCACTTGTATTGTCGTTGTCTTTACAAGATGTAGGCACATTTTCTTTTACTATATGGGGGTCTGGGGGAGGGGGGCTGGAGGGAGCCTGGAGTAATCAGGTCTGAAGCTCACTCCATTGAGCTTCAAACCCATATGTGCTTAGCGGAATTCGAACTCGAGACCTCCCACTAGACACGGTAACCTCACAACCAGCTGGGCTGGAATGCTTGGTTAGATGTAGGCACATTATTATATGTAGTATTTTTTTTTACAAGTATATAGAACTTGAATTGTCGTTATTTTTAAAAGATGTAGGCACACACACTCTGCCATGATTAAGCATAAAAAATTATATATTAAACTAATATTAAGTAGTCTATTTAGATTATTCTCAATTACTCTATAAATATTTGAAAAAGGAATTGCCTACATAGGAGTAAAAAATTGTGAAATTCCTAAAAAAACAATCCAAACATATAACCAAAATAAAAGTAGTGGACAAAAATGTGACTCTGGTAACTTTATTGACTATAATTGTATTCAAATATTACATTGTAGTGCAATAAAACTTACACATAGTAATTTATAGTCACATTTTTGTCCATAAGATTTTTTATTAGTAATATTTTAGGAATTACCTCATTCCAAAATACTAAAATAGGAGCATACGTTTTTTCCTGTAAAAAGTGTAATTACTACAAAGTATTAGGATGTTATTACTTGGACTGTAATTTGCTGGTCTGGTCAGTTTAAGTCTGATCTGGTCTAGTCTGTTTAAGTCTGGTCTGCTCTGGTTTAGTCTGAAGTGGTTTGGTCTGGTAAACGTCTGGCCTCTATGTATTTTATAACTACGGAAGTCAAGTCTGGTTTGGTCTGTTTAAGTCTGGTCTGGTCTGTTTGAGTCTGATCTGATCTGGTCTGGTCTGTTTAAGTTTGGTCTGGGACTGAAAACAATCCAAGTAAAAATATCCTTATGCTTGGAAAATACTACTAGTACCAATTAAGGCATTAATATTGCCACATTAACACCCGGTAATGCCAAAATATGGCAGTACTATTTCAGGACAAAAGTATTTGACCAAATTTCAGTGTATTTTTACTTCTCTCGGTGGTTGATTATGTTTTCGAATTATATTTCCAAAACAAGAGAAATGATGCCTCTATTACTTGGAATAAAATGTAATTTCAATTATGAATAAGAGGAAATGGGATTTATAAAACTAATAATTTAATTTATATGACACTATGACAGTACAGAAACAGGTAAAAAAAACTTAGTAATTCTAATCTGATACTCCGTATTTTATGATATACGAGTACCTCATAAGTAAGCGTTCCACCGGAGGAATCAGGTTGCCGAAGTGTGACACTTGAAATCACTCCATTAGCTGAGAGTACACAGATTCCTCGAGGCCGTTGTTGAGAAAATGATATGATCTTCATGGTAACATCCTAAGCAAATCAAATGATAAAATTTTACTTACCCAGAAGGTAGAAGTTGTTCAAATTACATAATAAAATACATATATAAATATATTCTGCTTATTCTTATTCTTCCTACTGATGCACAGAACAAGCCGAAGGGTACTGCCAAACGTAGCCTTACTATCATCTATACACTTGTCAAATAAACCAGCAATGCTTATGAAATTTTTACCTCCCCAGTATTGACTGTGATTATGTGGGGCGTAAAGTTGGCACCCAGTGAGGTAGATATCCATTCACCTAAGTATCAAGAGACAACTCAAAATCAGCAACACTTACACACACACACATATATATAGGATCAAATAAAAAGAATCCTCATGAAAAATAAGAATGACTCCGGGGCATTTAATTTGCGATCTAACGACTCTAAATATGCCAACAATGCAATAGATTTATCAAAAATACAGTGAGATTTTGGTAAATAGATCAAAGTTTTTAAACACCGTAAAAAAGTGCAATAGACGTGCTTCACATTGAGTATGCACTTGTTCTCGTATTTCATGAGAGAGAGCTCTTTTTTTGGAACCGCACTCTATATGTGTGTACTACTAGGTCAGAATCACAAAAAAAGTGTAAACCAAAACAATCATTTATATGTGTGTATGTGTGTGTGTGTGTTTGACCACTAAAACATACTGTATGAAGTATATTATTGACCCATAAAAGCGCCTTCATTGTTGTGCTGAAACAAAAATGCCAGCTATGAAAAACTTTAAGATTTCTCATCCCACCTGAGACTTTGAGAAGTACCCATAAAACATCAAAAGATCATGGGTTGAGGCATCTATTCAGAGGTCCCACTCCTTCCAATCTCAATCAGATTACAGACTTAAAGAACATCACCAAACACTACAAAATCTAGCTGACTAACAAACCCAAACAGACCATTTCCTCATACGCAAACAGAGTATCAACCTAAGGGGCGTTTGGCAAGGGTTATTTAGCAAAAATAGCTTTGGTAACATTTATTTCCACAAAACAAGTAAAAGCTGCTATTTATGCTCATTCCACTTATTCTACCAATAAGCCGGATCAGGCTAGCAAACGGGCTCTGTACATCATAACTCAGACTCAAAGGCTTAAGAAACCAAATCTTTACCTGAAGGATCAAAATCCAACTTGGGCTGGCGGGGTTTGCTAACTGGCCCCACAGGTTGGACTTTTCCCCGCTTTACAGTGGCGGAGAAGTCTATAACAGAAAGCGGGGCCGAAGAGGAGATCGGCTTAGGTGAGAGGGGGAGGGTAAACAGGGCCGCCCCATCAGGGCTATACTTTCTTGGTCTTCCCCTCTTCTTCTTCATTGTAGTGGCATCTACTCCGGCGGAGACGGCGGCCGGCGGCGGATGTGAGGAGACACCCATGTGCTGTGGTGCATGTGCTGATCCTTCTGCAACTTGGCTTGGAGACACACGGTAGTCTGACGGGACATCTGATCCCACCACTCTAACTTCACTCCCATTCAAACCCTCCCTTGTCTCCATTACCTCCCAAATACTGACCAAGAATGGCAAGAACAGATCTTTTTCCCCAAAACTAAAATAAAAATAAAAATAAAAAATTATGCAATTTTTTTTTTCTCAGCTTTTCTTCAAAAACCCATACTTTTTTCAACTCCAAAATCCAAATTTCAGCGCTAAACCAGTTTAAACATATCTTTATACCTCAAAAAATCAAGAAAAAATTCAAAAGAGACTTCAAACCTTAAGAATAGGATTTTAAAAAAATTCAAAATTAATGTTTTGAAGCTTTGCCCTTGCTCTAAAGAACAAGTACAATAGAGTCAAATGGGAGAAAGGTAATGAAGAAATTCAAGAAAACCAACCAAATTACTAGATTTTTCAGAAATAAAAGAGAGGAAATTTTATTTTATTTAGTTTGGAAGTGATGAGGAAAATGTGAAAATGGCGTTTGAGAAGTAAATTTTAATTTGGGGTTTCCTCTTATGGTTATCCGAATCCTGATATTAAATAATTAAATAATAGTAATAATGAGGAAAAAGAAATTATTAAATATTAGATCCGTAATTATTAATTATAGATATAGAAAGCAACGAAATTATGTATTTTGGTTAAGAAATTTTTTGGAGTCCGGTTGAAAAAGATTTAACAAAAAAATCAAAATAAAAATTCAAAAGAAAGCGTAGTTGGGGAAAGTGAAATTAGGTTGGCAAGTCATGAAGACAGCCATTACTCTCATTAAAATAACAACAACAATAATAGATTAATAGTATAATAATAACCACAATAAATAAAATAAAATGAATGATATTAACATCACGCATAATATAATAATAATCATAAACATAAACATAATGATGATAATAATTCTTATTATTAAGATCTGCATTCAAACCAAATACGGATAAAAAGATTTGAATTGGAAAGGAGAGGAAATGTAAAAGGAAAATGCATCAACTTGTACGGAATAGTATTTTCTTTTCCCTTTTTTACTCATGGTGTTTTCTTTTCCGTTTTCTTTTCTAATTGTAGCTTTTAGTCTATTTTGCTTTTCTCATTAACCACGTTCACAGTTTTTTCTAGGAAAAAGGTCCAGACGTACAGTATTGACCAAGCATTTGAATGGGCAAATCAGTTAACCATGGAAACTTACTATTCTTTTTTACTTGTTATTTCATGTTTTTCGGAAGTTATTACTTATTTTTCTTGAATTTCATATTTTTTTGAAGGAAACTATTTATATTATAGCAATCAAAGATGATAACAACCCACCATAAAAAAAAGATGATCACAACCTCACAATCAAGAAACGCCAAACCTCCCTATGAGGCTCCACATAGCCAAACGGTCCTCTCACTCTCTAACTAGACACAGAATAGACCACCCTAAGCAGAGCGAGACTATTCGCTAACCATGTGAGAGATTCGAAACTTTTACCAGCCATACAAGCCTTATCGCTTCCACCCACAAACTTAACCTGAATAATGAAAAAATAACCAAAGAAACTGCGGCTAATGTCTGCAAAGCAAAACAAGAACCCACCCCCTTATTGTGTGAAACAAAAAGAACGAGTAAATTTAGTCTGAAATAAAAAATGCAATAGAAATAAAATTGCACCTGATGGAATTCTCTAGTTTCCATCCTTGCTATATCCTCCTGCCAAAGCTTCAATTGCGTGTCAGGCGGGCATTGTAGCCCGCCTCCTCCCCGTTTTTTTGCCAATTCCCTCTCTATTTCCATGCCCGCTTGCATAGATTCTTTCACTCCTTGGTCAACCCTCCTACGCTTCTGCTTAATCTTCTCTCCTGCAACATGATGTTCTTGCTCCTGTGGAGTCCCATAGCTATCCTCCTTTGATGCCGTATTACTGTCCTCACCTGCTTTCTCTTTCACTTTACCCACTGGAACTAACCACTTGTTCCCGCTCGACATAACCCTTCCCTTAACAGCTCTCAGCTCTGGTCCAAATGGTAAATCTCCCTCCTTTCCCACTCCATAGGGGTAGCATGGGCAGTACCTTTCTACATGTCCAATGACACCACATGCAAAACAGAAACTAGGGAGTTTCTCATATTTAAACCTGACACAAAAGTTATCCCCTTCATCTAACTGCAGAAATAGCTTCCATTTTAGGGGCCTGGTCAGATCGATACTAACCCTTATCCTCATGAATGGATTCCACTTGACTGAAAAATTATATTCATCCACTTTAATAAAATTTCCCACAAAGTTACCTATTTTAATTGCATTTTTCATAGAGAAGTAGCCAACCCGAACATCGTGAATCTGCAACCAGAAATCAGCCATGTTTAAGGGTACTTCTAGAGGTAAATCTCCTTGCCGCAACCTAGCCAGTACAATAAGGTTTTGCTCAAAAATCCAGGGGCCCTCCTCCAGTACCCTTTTCATTATGCGCTCGTTTTCAACATTATTGTCACTCAGTTGAGGGGCCTTGGGAACTCTGTGGAAGAAATCAAAGTGGTGAAGAAACTACTACGATCAACCTCATCAAATTTTTTGCAGATTGCCTCAACTATTGAGGAGTTTGGTGATCTGCAACACAAGACAATAGATGAAGTCATAGGGGTTACTCAAAGCACATGAAGAAAGGCTACATGGCTTTAGCAACCATGATGAAACTGTCCTCTTGACACAGGTTGAGTGGAAAGCCAAAGAGGAAGCTAAAACTTCAAAAAAATCCTCTAGAGATCAAGGAAGCACTAGGGGAGGTAGAGGTCGTGGCCGTGGTGGTGGAAGAGGAAGAGGTAGAGGTAGAGGAGATTTCATACCCTCAGGAGATGAGGGAGGTTCAGGTGTGCAGAAAAGAAAGTTTGATAAAACCAAGATCAAGTGCTATTCATGTCACTGTGGCAAGAATTTGGGGCGAAGATTTCACTGTGGTCGGAGTCACTGTGGCGGTGGAGTCACTTTGACCAGAGTCACTGAGATAGTGACTGGCGGCGGCGGTGACGGTGATGGTGGCGACGGTGCTGGGGTTGGCGGCTACGAAGGTCTGGTGGCTGCAAAATATGGACTACTAAAAATAAAAAGAATATTAAATAATAAATGCATGATTAAATAACTAAGTACGGAGTAAATGACTTTTAATCAGTTTTTTGGAAAACTTTAAAACATGTAACATTTATGTCTTTTTCATTAATTTTAGTAATATTGAAATTAAAAGGCCCATTCGTATAAATGGCATAAATATTAGCTACAACGTTTGTAAAGACAAAAATATGACCTTATCTTAATTCGATAAAAATGTGAGTTAAATCACCTCCACACGCATCAATTCATCATCGATCTCTTCAGTCCAACTTGCGCTCCTCTTTAATAGACTAGGGTCGTTTATGTATTTTCAAACATTAATTGTTATTATAAATAGATCTGTCAGGACTCCGTATGGGGTAACCTGTTCCATTCTCTCACATGCGAGTTAATTCGAGGAGATGGCGATGTTTGCGCTCAGCCACCCCATTCTGTTAAGGTGTGTCGGAACAAGTTTTTTGAAAATAAATGCCCTGAGTGAGAAAAAAAATTTGCATATCACGATTAACACATTCCCCTCCTCCATCACTTTGGAAAATTTTAATTTTCTGAGTAAAGAGATTTTCAATAAGTGACTTAAAGTTTTTAAAATGTTGAAAAACTTCACTCTTGCGGCACATAGGATAAATCCAAGTAAAGCGAGAATAATCATCAATAAATGACACATAGTATTTAAATCCTAAATTTGATAAAATAGGAGACTGCCACACATCAGAATGTATATTTTGCAAAGGTAAAGTAGACATGTGAAGAACATCAGAAAAGGACAACCGTTGTGATTTTCCAGTACGACAAGCTACACAGTCATGAATAAAACTAGAACTAGTGCATAAAAATTTATTGGACTTAGGAAGATGCAAAATTTTGTCACCACAGTGACCTAGTCTACGATGCCACACAGGGCCAGAAGCTGAGATAGAGGCTAAAACTAGAGGTGGGGAAGGCGGCAGACTGATAGGATAGAGAGGCCCACTACTGGAATCTTGGAGAAGAACTACTCCCGATATTTTATCCTTAACAAAAAATGATTTTTTATCAATAATAACAATACAGTTATTATCAGCATACAGTTTCTGAATAGAAATTAAATTATATTTTAACTGAGGTACATGATAAACAGATTTTAAAAGTAGAGATCGACCAGACGAGGGTATGAGCACATCACAAAAAAAAAGTACAGATGGGTAATCGTTCACCATTTGCAACACTAATAGAAGTAGAGCCGGAGTAAGTAGATTTATTTAACAAATTACCTTCAGATGTTGTCATGTGTGCAGATGCCCCGGAATTGGGATACCACAAAGCAGGATTAGTTTCTCCAGGTGTAGTCATTAAGGCTAGCGCGGAAGGCTGGGAGAATCGAGACAGACAAGTGACAACAGAGTGACCTGTAGAAAAACAAATTTAACAAACAATAGGAGGAGGGACAAATCCTAGAGTACCCCCCATCTGATGGAAAGCCTGCAGAACCAGAGTTAGTACCACAAATAGATAAGGCATGAATATCAAAATGTGACACAGAAGATTTACTAATGACAGTTCCGTTAGTGTGATTATGCTGATACGGAGCACCCCCTGCAGGAGAGCTTGGTGGAGCAGCTCGAGGAAAACCACCGGGAACCGGACCCGCCATGACACCATACCCCTGTGGCGGAAAATAACCCTACTGGCCATACAATTGTGGATGACGTCCACGGCCACGGCCTCCACGGCCACGCGAGCCGCGTCCGCGACCACCTCGACCACGGGCAGCCGGCATCTGAGGACGTTGAGGACCTAACTGTGGCTGAGTTTGGGCTGCGAAGGCCTGATGAGCTGAAAGTTCTTGTTGTTGAAAATATTGTTCCCGTTGCTCAATCTCAATGAGATGGTTCCGAATTGTTTCAAAGGGGAAATTTTGGGGAAACAAAGAAATTGTAGAGATCAACGGAGCATACTCCTTCCCCCAACCCATAATAATAGACTTGAGCATATCAGTGTGAGAAACAGAACAATTAATACAGGCAAGAGCATCAACTAAAATTTTAACTTCTCGTAAATAGCTATCCATAGACTGATCAGGTTTCTTCTTAATGGTATTCAGCATATGTTTCAATTCCATAGACCTAGCTAAACTAGCAGACATAAATCTCGACTCCAATCGTGCCTGATGGAGTATATGGGTCTGAGCCCCAGGACCCACATACTCGGAAGAACAGAAAGCACAAGACAACAGAGTGGCGCCCTCGTCGGCCAAGACGCCCCCGTCGGCCGAGAAGAAGCTAACTCGGATCATGGTCCTGAGTCCAAGGAACCCGGGTGCCCTCGTCGGCCGTGCCCTCGTCGGCCACGCCCTCGTCGGCCATGAAGACCTCCCAGAATCGGATCCTATACTTACTCATTTGTACAGCCCATTAGAGGCTTTGTATTCGGCCCAGTAGCGGTCCAGTTGTAAATGGGCC